CTGGGTTTGATCCTCAGGACCACATTAAAAATAAAATAAAATAAAGGAATTGTGTCCATCTATAATTAAAAATACTTTTTTAAGAAATAAGATACAAAAGAAGCCCATATTTCTTTTCATAAGCAAATGCAAGCAGAGTGAGCAATCAATACCCTTTTTCTAGTCTGTGTGTGAATGATATTACATTTACAAGAGAAATAAGTGTGGACCCCATAGACTGTAAGGCCCTTTCTCGGAACACCCTCTGTTTGGGGTCTAGTCATGTTCCAGATGTAGTCCTGGTATTAAGAACAAGATTCTGGACCAACTTAATATCACTGAACGTAGACACTGACTGCCGCCTACCTTCCAGACGCTGGGTGAAGCCCTGGGCACACAGCAGTGAGGGGYGAATAAATGTCTTAATGGAGCTTAGAGTCTGACTCAATTAAAAGCATCTAGCTTTCATGTCAAGTCTGAGAACTGAGTAGAACTCCAAGGGACTTTGAGATCGCCTACAGCCTGCCTATTCATTGGACAGGGGAAATGGAGAACTCCAAAATTCAGAAAAGTCTCTTCCAATATGACCTCTGAATCTCCTACTGCCTGCCCTGACCTTCTTTCCATAGGCTTGCTCTGAAGTTTTTAAAATTTTGCTTCCCATCGAGTCCTGACATTATTATTTCTCTGTCATCTTAAGGTTTCTTTGATGTCTATGGCCTTTCCATGCTAACACTGATGTTCCAGTTTTCCAAGATAATATTCTTCATCACTGTCCTCTTCCTTTGCCTGAGCACATGGCTGGCTGATCTGTCTGTCCTGACCGTTGAATAGGCAATCCAGGGGACCATAGGGCTTTCAAAGATCAGGGAAAGAGAGCACTCCACAGAGACCCTCTCAGGCCTTCCAAACCCACACTGTGGCCCTTGGCTCCTTAGAGAGAGCAAGGCTTGCCCGGGGTGGGGGTGGGRGGACGAGGAAGACTGGCAGACACAGTCCTGGATTTTCAGACACCCCCCAGACTGGAAAACATCCTTTTTTGGGGGGGAAAAATGAGGACATGAAATCGCTTGCTGTGGTACCTATCATTCTACTAAGGACAGTGAAAACACAGTCTGTCATTCTTGACATTTTAATTGAAAGAAAAGCTTACATAGATTTCAGCCGTAAGCAGTATGTTTATACAAGTGTATAAAGAGGAATAATCTGTCAAGTTGGAAAACTCTKAATGCTGCAGGACTCAGTTTAGTAATTGAACAATCCAACATGAGCTCACACATCTTACCTTGTTCCATGCCTCAATAATTTTTAGTAGAAATACTTTACCTAGAGGCATATGGTTATTAAAAAGGAGGCTCRGCTTGCTCAAAGTCTGGAATTATTAGCTCATGGCAACAAGCCTGCACTGGAGGAAAGACTGTTGGGTCTTTGTTTTCACAACTTTATTGCTATTTTGTCATCTTACTTGCAGAATCTAATTGATGTGTTGTTTGGGGAGGTCTTTGTTTGCTCTGTTTTTATTTTGTTGTTGTTTTTTGTTGAAGGAAGAAAATAGAATTTCGAATGGATAAGAGAGTTCTCGWGTTAGCAATGTTAGCAGTTTCCCCAGTGTTTTACTACTTCATGCAAAGTCCAGGGAGCAGTGTGAATATCAAAGGAAATGGACCATGAGTTTATTTTAGCATAAAAAAAACAATAACTTAGTTGTGGAAGCTTGCAAGGTGTACTGGGGGAAGCTCTGTATTGCAAGCTGAGTATGAGCCCTGCTCCTTTTCATGACCTGTGTGACCTTGGGCAAATTTGAATGTACCTGGATTCAGTTTGCTCCCAAGTAAAGTGGGAATAATGCTACCTATCTACCATGTGGCATTGTTTCAAGTCATGTGAAATTAGGGCTGTGATAATCCTTTGAAAAATATGAAAYGTTGTTCAAGAGCAATATAAAAAGTTTTCTGCCCATATACTATATTAAATAACAATAATTCATTTTTTAGAACACATAAAGGGAATTAGAYAATTAATGCAATTATTCCAATACCACTCTTGCTTCAACAATTCAAGTATTCTAGACAAATGTTTGCTTCTATGGGCCTAGTTACATAGAAAATTCTTCACTCTGGTCCTGTATTTTATTTTATTTCTTTATTTACTGGTGCTGGGAATCAAACACACTTGTGCATGCTAGACAATTCTCTACCATTGAGCAATACCTCAGCCCTTCTCCTTGATATACTTAAGGATGTTTAAGCAGTTTACTCTTTTYGGTTTTTATAGTGTAAAAGCCTAAGCAAGAAGCCTAGAGAACTCTATCAGTATGATAAGTGGGAGTTGGGAAATAATTTATAAAGTCTRTGTGAACCTCAGAATTATTCAGAATTCAAACATACAGGGATCTCAAATAACATTTTCCCACCCAAGTATATGTTGCTAATCAGTCTGACTGGTACCATTTGGAAGCTGTTATTATAATCCCAAGAGAGCCCAGTACCTTGAAAGTCTTTCTTAATTAATGAGAAAATACTTGATATTTTAAAATCTAGTAGATCTGTGCATTGCGTGGAAATAACTAACCTAATCAGAGCATTGAATTAAATTAAACACACCATTCCCCAACTATTCCATATGATAGTTTCCATCATTTGGGTAAAATGAAAACTCATTTTAAATTTAATTACTTTTGCATTCCCTTTCACATCACCATTGAGTTGTTTAATTGATTTCTTTTTCACAAAGAACACATCAATAAAAACTGATGACCAGGATTGTTTTTAATATGTCAGGTTAGAAACTGAAYGTGAATGATGCTCACGAGCATGGTATCCTGAATCCAAGTAATACAAAGAAATGTTTTTCATTGTCTTTCCTATAACAGTGTGTGTTTGTTCCTGTTGGCCCTTGAAGCTTTCCTCTAGTGACAGATATATGGTTACAGGCAGTATATGTGTGTGCGTGCATGTGTGTGTGCATATGTAGATGCCTGTATATCCATCTCTGCAGATTGGGTAGATACTAATGAGTGGATAGATGGGTGATGAGGGATCCCCTCAATGAATCTTGCTTATTATGAAACTGGGGAGTCCATATGATTAATCCTGGGTTTGGAAGAACTATTACTGAACATTATATGCTGTGATATACAACAGTTTTCTTTTTAATCGMATTCCCAAACAAAACATTAAAATTGGAGAAAATAAAACAAGCTTTGTTGACAGGGCCACATTCCATACTTATCTGACTCAAGCTATTCMCCTCTGAATGAAATATTCTTTACGAACCTGGTGAAGTCACAACCTTCTGTGGTATTTTGGAGCATTGGAACCAGCAGTTCCCCMAAACTGAGAAAGCTTGAGGACCTTCACCTGCTAGACCTTATTGTGTCAGTGTGTACTCSAGATGCCCCAAGGGCACACATCAGGAAATACCCTTAGTACCTCATTTGCATTTCTGAAAAAATGCTCATTTCATTGTTCCCACCTACTGACCTCCGCCTTTCTAGGTATGTCCGCAAACATACCTTCTACTAATAAAACAGATTGTGATTTGTGTACATCAACATAACTTCTGTGAAAGGGCTTTCTATTCTTTTCTAGTTCCATATATTCACCTTCCTGAGCGTATAAATCTTGACTAATTATGAGTAATCCTTCTAGGATGTGTGTGACCATGATGGTTAGCTACATTTCCAAAAGAGCTCTTGGGCAAAAAAGAGTGGAAAACTTAATCTTTGGAATTTTAACAGCAATGTGAAGAAAGAACATGTTGGCATTCTCTTTTTCCCCAGCTCAGTCTCCCACTTCCCTGTGAGTCACCCAGAGACGCCAAAGAAGGGCCTCCTCTCCCTACTCCAAGGGAACTCTAGCAGAGATTGTGCTTCTCCTAATGGAGGCCAGGCCTGGGCCTGCCTGGAGCATAGTGCGGYGGCCTTACCCAGTTCTTTGCATGAGGGGGTCTTCTTTTTTTCYTTAGAACATGCACTAATTCTGAAAGTACAAGTTTCTATCCCAACATTCAGAATACAGTGGTTTTACATGGAAGACTCAGAGGGCCCGAGAGCTTTTTGTTTATTTGTTTTGTTTGTTGTTAAGTCTTTAATTTAATGGCTTGACATTTATATAGCTCCCCAGAGCAAACCCATCAGGAGATTGAGAATTTAGCCGGAGAGGTCAGTTGTTTGCCATTTTTAATAAACACAAATAATTCCCTTTTTCCCTCAGCTCCACATTCCCTGGCTCATTAAATCAATGTAAGGCTCTTAAAGTTTTCTGGGATTTTTTTTTTTTCTCAAATTGAAACAACAGCTCAAACTGTCTACTCCCCGAAGGAATGCTTACCCAAGTTCTGCAGGTCAGGCCCAAATCAGTTTTCTGTCAAACAGCCTAACACCTCGAGTTATTAGGAAATGAGAGCTTGGTGATGGAGAGCTCACCGGGGAAAGGCTGGCCACAGGGCTGTGACCCATGGGCGGGCTGCTTTTGGTCTGTGTCCTGACTTTGATTCCTTCCACTCATTGTGGAGAACTCTGAAAAAGTCAAAATCGATTTCTGTCARGAATTCACAAATGGAGTTTACCAAGTAAATTCAGAGAATGAAAGTGTATCCAGAGCAAAGCCAGGTRAGCTTCCAGGCAGAGGTGTGGGAGAGTGTGTGTGTTGAACACCTGGAGCCAGATCTCCAGCCCTAAGACCCTTCAAAGGCTCAGACCCAGGATTCCACCACAAAATCCCTTTCCTTAGAAGCAGGGGCTATGGGAGATTTACTGGCTTGTTTCTATGGAACATCAGTTAGATAACAGGGATCAGGAAATGAAGTAGAATTTGATGTGTTATCTAGGAAGCAGCAAAGGAAATCAGACTTGTATTTTATTTGTTATTATTTCCCTAATATCCACAATTATGTGGCTGTCCCATCAGTGGGTCTGATCTGCTGCACGTTGGACGGGTGGTGTCCCCACTGGTCCTGGACTCTGGTGAGACAGGCTCAGAGCACTGGAAATAATGTTTGTTTGTTTTCTTTGTTTYCAGGCCTGTCCCAGGCTCTCTATCTTCTCTGCTACATCTCCACAACAGACAGAGACAGCCCATGCCAGCCTCCATGCCTGGGACCCTGCCCAACCCTACAATGCCGGGATCTTCTGCCGTCTTGATGCCAGTAAGAGTTTCTGGGTATCTCTTTGGAGCATCTCACTCCAACTATGGCTTGCCACTCTTTTAGCTTTTTTTTTTCTTTTTAATGGTACTGGGGGTTGAACTTAGGGCCTCATGCTTGCTAGGCATGTGCTCTATCACTACTTTTCTACTCACGACATCCYCCAGCCTGTGGCTTGCCACTCTTAAAAGAGGAAAGGGAAAACTGACCTCTAAACTGTCAAGAAAGAAGCTGCTTCAGAGTAGAGGGCTGAACTTGAATAAAGTCTTGCAACCCTGTTTCAGGAATCAAGCATAAATTGCACTTGCTCAGGGCTTTGAAGTGCCAGTTTGCCTTTGGGGCCCTGTTGCCTATCCCCAGGCATCCTGCTGACTTTCCTGCACCTTGCTATGAGACAGGGTCTCATCTTCTTGCTGGTGATAACTGGTTCAAAACTAGAGATGGTTTAAATTATACAGGAGAGTGTTCATAGGTTATGTGCAGATGCTAAGCCATCTGATACAAAAGATTTGAGTGTCTGCAGATTTTAGTTTCAAAAGGGAAGGGGTGTTCTGGAACCAGTTCTCTGAAGATATTGATGGATGACTGCACTCCGGAGTCCCCAACTTGAGTTGTATACAGTGGCTTTAAATTGCCAGTGAGTGGTCTAGCCAGAACTGAGAGTTATAATTATAGTAATAACGATAATAATGATCATACATAATAGCTGCTAATATGTGTTTATCCATATCATGTTCTATAAATCATGCTAGCAGCATTTATTGAGTACTTACCATATGTTGGTCACTTTCCAAGTACTTTGTTAACACAAGGAACAACATTCTGAGATGAGTCTTTTACTGTCCCCATCTTCTGAAGGAGCAAAGTCAGGCAAGTCACTTGCTCAGCTGAAAAGCAGAGCTGTGGAGTCTTGAACCCAGGGATTCTGTCTCCAAAGCCCATTCTTTCACCTACTAAGTGATATGTACATTTCCTCCCTTCACTTTCACAGCAAACCCATGAGGTAGGTACTGTGATTATACTGATCTTACAGATGAAGAAACAGAGGCAGAGAGACTGAGTTTCTTGGCTGACGTCACACAGCTAATAGGTGATAGAATTGGGATTTAAATTCAGGTAGTCTGACTCCTGAGTCTCTACTCATACTCATCATATAATCCCTTCTGAAAGCAATGGATAATCATACCAGAATGATTCAGACTAATKCAAAGCAGTTTTTCTGTCCTTCCACCTCCTCTCTTTCCTTCTTCCCTAGATTGTGTGTTGGTGAATATAACTGGTGATGTTATTTACAGGGCTGCAGGAGTTCCCTAAAGCCCCACGTTCAATCCAAACCCTCCCACAACTGATGAGCAGTATTTTGCAAAGCATTTGAAGGAATTCTCCATGTTGTTAGATCATTTTATCCTCACAGCAATCCTGTGGGGATATGGTATCTATAATTACTGATATAATCTTCTCACAGATGATAAGAAGTTTTGAAGGGAGTTGTCTAATGTCAYGTGGTTTAGAAGTGTAGAAAATGGAATGTACATCTCAGCTCACTTGAGAGGTCAGACCRGCTCTGGTGAAGGACTGTGTGTGCTCCTTTCTCTAGGGGGATGCTGGGGGATACAGAAGGGTTTGTGGACTCAGTTGAGAGCAATTGGCCTGCCCTCTACAGATGCCTGGTTGTCCAGGCTAGAAGCAGCCACTGTAAACTTGAGCTAGAGGGTGGACAGGTGATGCCAATTGACTTCAYCTGCAATGCTCTCCTTAAACTTTTTTTAGATGGTGGAGAACAACACCTCAGTGCAGTTATCCCAGATTTTATTCAACTTAACCAATTGTACCGAAGTTTCCATCACAAGTTGTCTTCCTCTTGTCCAGAATTAGTATTCTCTGTGCCTTATTCAGAAAAATACTACTATAGACCACTTTCCCCCACCTCAGTTTGGCTAAGCTGTGGACCATTCCTAGGGACAAAGTTAGGACACTTGGGCTGAAAGGGCCCTGAGAAAAGGCACCTGGCACCAGTTTCCACATGATCCCATCACACAGCTTGACCTCTTGTTCATACTTCAGGATAGAAGCAAAGATTCAGGTTCATGGTCAAGAGCCAGTATAGACTAAAAGGAAGGGAAGCCATTCCCACGGGAGTTCTCAAACCCTTGTGCATGACGTATGTAGAGCTGCCATGACAGTAGGTGTCAGTCGAGAGCAGTGATTCTCGGCTGGGGGTGGTTCTGTCCCCCAGGGGGTATTTGGCAAAAACYGGATATGCTGTTAGTTGTCAGCACTGGACTGGCATGGGGAAACTGATATCTAGTGGGCAGAGGCCACAGATGCTGCTCAGCATCCTATAATACACAAGATAGTCCCCACAACAAAGAGTTCCTTGATCTAAAATGTCAGTGCTGAGCTTGAGAAGCCCTGGTCTTGAGTGAAGCAAAAGTTACTAATGGAAAACAACGCAATATCTTTCAGAAGTAGACCCTAAGAGTTCCAGGCCCTAGAAATCCAGACTTTTCTTTCTTAGTGTCCTGTCACCAGCTCCTCTGCTATAACTTGGACATTCCAAACACGGTTGAAGGGTAGTTTCTTTCCCTCAAGATCCCGCTCTGGGAAACCACAATTCCCTGGGCTTAAATCTTCAGACTGTGTCTTTAGGTGAAGGTGAGATTCATACCTGATTTGTAATGCTGCCAGGATGCAYATTTCACAAAACATAGGTCAGAAAGAAAATGATGTCATCATTTATTCATTCCACAAACTTCTGTTGAGCACCTTTTGTATGCAAGCACAGTGCTAGATGATGGAGATTAAGAAGACCAGGGCAGGTTTTGCCTTCAAGGACTTCACAGGGTGTCATTTCTTGTCTTGAAAGTCAAATGCATTAATAATTTGGGAACATGAACTTTACTTTTATTATTACAAAAGCTCAGTGACATATATATACAGTCCAGCTTTTATTTTCCAGTGTGTGAAGAGGGGAAAATTCTTTATTTGGGAGTTATTGTGGTGCTGGGGATTGAACCCAGGGCCTTGCACATGCTAAGCAAGCACTATACCACTGAGCAGCACCCGAGTCCCTGCCTGGATGTTTACCAGCAGTGCTGAATATTACCCATATTGAACAAACTTGATCCATCTCCTGGCCTCTTAATTCCAGGCAACTTTTTAAAACTGTGATGGGGCCTTGACCTTACTTCGAGGAGGCGCTTTGCCCACACTGTATGTCTATATATGTGACAATCGTCAGTAAGATGGAAAATGCAATATTTTKTAATAGATAGAAAAATGAAGCCAGTTTGAAACCAGTATATGATGAGTCATGGGGTAGAAATAGTCATAGATGAAAACTTTTCCCAAAAATGGAAGGCTTGCTGACTCTGGATTCAGAAGCCACGAGTAGAGTGCTCTCCGCTCTTGGTACAGCTGGTAGTTTAGAAGACACTGGACAAACATCTGTACTTATAAAAGATCCTTCTTTGGAAAATTGAAGAGAAAAAGCTCATTTGGACTTGGGTTTCCCTCTCAAAGAGGAAGAAGGGGTCAAATGCTATTCTGACTCTCCCACTTCCAGCCTCTGAGAGTGAGGATTATTAAGTAGTATGCATTTTTCCCACTTTTTTTTATTGGTGCATTATGGTTATACATACTGATAGGATTTGTAGTAATACAAATTTGTATTAATGTAGCAATACATTTTGGGAGGCAATTAAACTCTTGACTTCTTTATGACTTACCCACTAGAGTACATGAATGTACCTAATGGCACTGAACTTGATGAACTYCATGGCACTTACCACTGGTTAAATTGGTACATTTTATCTTAAGTGTATTTTACAATTTTTTTAAAAAAAAATGATTGAAAGATTAGACTTTTAGGCTGCCCAGAGATTTAGGAGATACATGGGAGTGAATGTTTTATTTTTACTGAATTGATAAGGCTCAAAAAGTTTTACTGAAATACTCAGGAATACATGGGAAATTTGCTTTTACTAGCTCCTCTTGAAAGTTTCCTGTATCCACACCTTGCAGGATAACTAATTAGCTTATTGGCTAAAATCAGGCTAAGCACCCACCTGTCAGTCAGGAGAGAGCTTTTTGCTAACACTTTTACTAATTCAAAGACTAATGTCATAATTGTACCCAACCCCTGTAGTAGACATAAGAAATCATAGTGGCAGAATCTCGGCAAGAGAAGGCTCCTTGACTAAGCATGGTCATTTAGTTCAGTGATCACACTCAAGCTTCCCTTTAATTGGTGGGATTTCCATGCTCTATCCTTTGAACCTCCACTGATTAGAAACACCCATATTTTCCAACACTTCCCAGGTTAACTTAGAGTGAATACATGGCTCCCCAAATTTTCAGCCATTGTTTTTATGTCCACCCTTTGGTAATTATTTTGAAGAATTGGTTTTCCCGCTGAAGAAAGTCTAGTTATTTTCTGGGTGATATTAATAATAAATGTACTTGCTTTAGCTTATTCTGTGAAGTGTTCATTTTCTACCAATCAGAAAATATTATTAATCAGTTCTTCCTTGACTCAAATAGAAATTTTGCTGTAGAAGTTGAGCAATCCCTAATMTGAAAATTCAAAATCCAAAACTTGGTTGTGCCAACATGATGCCACAATTGAAAAATCCCACATCTGCCCCCRTGTGATGGTGGTAGTCAAATGTGGGAGTGTTCAACATACTGTATACAATTAGCTTCAGCCTATGCRTATATGGGGTATATGAAACATAGATGAATTTCATGTTTGGACTTGGGTCCTATCCTGGAATATCTCATTATCATATGCAAATATTTGAAAAATCTGAATATATCCTAAATCTGATGCACTTCTGGTCCCAGGCACATTGGATAAGGGACACTTACCTTGCATTTACTTCTTAATAGGCATACCCTGAAGACAAAAATAACATAACCCAGGTCAGGTATTTGGTTGATGTTAATTCTGGAGGGACAGAAGGCCAGAGGAGGATACTGCAGGAGCAGTCGTTCATGTGTAATCCAAACCCTGCAGCCACCTAAGGCTCAGCTCTTCAGTGAGGCCTTGACCAAGTTAAGAAGGAAAAGATACACCCAGGCAGTGGCTTAAACACTCCTGCTGCCTCATTTCAACTGCATTTATGGAATGGAGCAACAGGAAGACCTAGCGTGTTGGGAAATGTGGCTTTTAAGATTGTTTATTTTTCCTTATTCCCCCAAAGAATCATGTTTACTATGTAAAATTTATAGGGGAATATATCAAAGATATCCTGAGATACCACTTGGTATATYATATATCCTTTTAGCATTTTTCTATGCATATATTATTTCTTACAGCCATAAAAATTAGCATAATTAGTGGTACTTGGAATGGGTGCAAAAGTGGAAATATTCAATGATTTTGTTTGGAAATCATCTTTCATGATATCACTGTTCTCTTTGCATGGGGAATCTTCCTAGATGGCACAGCTTTGGGTGATTCCTTGATGTGCTGGTTCAGCTCAAGGCTCAGGAGTGCATTGCTCACCATGTACCAAGCCTGTGGGTTTCTGGGGCTTCTTCAAAGAAATGCTAAAGGATCTGCTTGAAAGGGAAGTGGCATCTTTGTCTATGCCTTGACTGTCTTTCTCAGACTTCTAATTCTGTTGCTTTCCTTTCTCTTAGATGGAGAGACAAATGTCAGTGAACTCCAGCATCATGGGGATGCAAGGTCCAAATCTCAGTAACCCCTGTGCTTCTCCCCAAGTCCAGCCAATGCAYTCAGAAGCCAAAATGGTAAATAACTGCTATAATCATCCTTTTATTACTTCATGAATTTTTCTTCTGATTTTTACTCTGACACCCAAATGTCAGTTAAGCCAGGTAGAAGTCTTCCTTCCCCCGCCCCCTGTATTGCTCTTTCTCTGGAAAGGCAGAGTTCAGAGATTGGCTCCCTTTAAAGATATTTGTTACAGACCCTTGGCATCAGATAAGCATGTCCCAAGTGTTAGATTGGCGCTGGTGTTAATGAAAGGGACAATTGAGGTTTTGGGAGATCCATAGAAGTTGGGGTGAGATTTACTCATTATGTGAAATAATCCAAAGTTCTAAGTCCTTCTTCAAGGTAATTACAGCTTCAGTGAACTTTTCTTGTCCCAATGTCATTAACACAGACCTTTAATTCTTAAGTACACACTGTTATGGAAATGCTTTGTGGTTTTTTGTTATAGTTGTCAGATGTGGTATTGATTTAAAAGGATGAGAGGCTTCATTTCCTTGCAACCTGTACTAAAAAGCGTGACTTCAGGTGACAAGGTTCAGTGACTTTTAACGTGATATTTGTGTGCGCTGAGGTCATTCTTTCCAATCTCAGTGATAGATTTATGCATCTATATTCCACTAAAGATTGATAAAGCCATGCCTCTCTCTCTCTGCAATACAAAGTAAACTTGCTGGTACTATTTAGAGAAGTTATTTAAAGTAGGTCATTCAGGATTTGCTTAGTTAAATTCTAACACCAAAATTAGTCAAGTAAAATACAGCCCAGCAGATTTTTTAGTGTCTGATATTGTATAAGGAAGGCATTTGCTAGAACTTTGAGGTTTATCTGGTCTACTGACTGCACTGGAGACTGTGCGTGTTGGTTGGTGTGAGGAGGTTATGGACAGCTCTGAAAGCTAGCCATCACCTCCCACACGGGGTGGAGCCAGCCCCAGGGACTTCCTTTTCAATGTCAGCAAGTTTTTTTTTTTTTTTTTTTTTTGAAGCCCGTTTTGGTCACTTTCGCTTAGAAACTTCACTCATCTGATGTGCAGCTTCTTGACCTGAGAAATCAACTGAACTCCCAGTGTTGGCTACTTTGGGCAAATAAAATCTGTGGTCAAGAGAGCTCTCTTTACTGTGCCACAGCCCCTGTGACGGGCCAAATGGCACCAGCCTTGCAGCAAAGCTCGTTAAATCTTTTTGGATTCGGCAAATATTTTTTCAACTCAAACCTTTTCAGAGCCAAACCAAATACTTGCTGGCAGAATAAAGTTCAAACTGGCATCTGTTTTGGAGACCAAAGTAATGCCATTTACCTTCTTTTTTTTTTTTAAAGGAAAATAAAAAATGAACTGTGAAGGTACTTAAGAAAAAAACAAAATTAATTTCTTCATTTGCAAATGAATAGTGTATGGTTCTGGGTCTGAGATAGTATGCCCCCATCTGGATGGTTCTGGAATCTTCTTATTCCCTTCAGGGTCTGTCTTCCTTTTGAGGGATTTTCTAGACAAACTTTAGATGGATTCTAAGTTCCAATTCCAAACAGATTTCTCTGCTAATTGATTTTTCACTGGATTTTCTACCACCACTTGACCACCACCCTGCCTCTCCAATTGTTAGCAAAGAAGGAATATGCCCCCCAAAGTAGGCAGATTGAGAATTATTTACATGCATGCAAGAAATCATATCCTAGGGCAAATTAATGGTGAATAATGTTGCTGGAAACAAAAGGGAATTGGTCTGTACTTATAAAAATAGTGTTAGCCCACAAACCTTTGCTGAGTTGGATTCACTGAGCAAGCACACCACTCTGCTGATTCATGTTCTAAGTGAATAAATATTTCCAGGCCCATGAGGTCGGGGCTAATGAACTTGACCATGGAGATGGGGCCCAGGGAGTACAGCTATTCTTTCTGCTTCCAACTCCCACCCCTACTCCCCCTGTTATTGCCAATACATTMATCCAAAGGGGGGAAATGGTAGTATTGCCCACTTATGTTCGGAAGAATAGCATTTACTTAGTTGTGTGCAAAAGCGTTAAGTAAGTGAATTATAATATGTCATTCTGCATTTCTGATCTTATTCCGCCTGTTTTATTCACTGGAGAAACTGGTCATTGCCATCAGCTAACCACATGGTATTTTCTAGCAGCTTTGGGGCTGATCAGATGAAAATGTTTTATGAAATCCAAAGTAGTGAGGGAAAAAAAAAAAAAAAAAAAACTTCCACGATTTTAATGTCAGCCAGAGCCTCTCCAGGTTTCTCTGAACGATGGGCTTTGTTTTTCTATGCCTAATTTTCTTCCTGTGTAAGACTAGAATGGATTCCAGATTTCAACTGAGAGTCTTGTTTCACTGTTTTCAAGGACTTTTCCTTAGGTCACACATGGGCTATTGTGATGAATGCACTCGGCAGGGTGTGTTCTCAGAGCACACAAGTCACCAGAGAGCTAAAGGGAGGTGTTGCCCACACAGTGCCACCGCAGGCTTTCTCTCCTGGGGACAGTGTCAGAGGGTTCATTGCAAACTCCCTATTGCCCCAGACAAAAGACATCACCCCGAATCTCTGGTGAAACGTGGAGGTCTGGGAGGTGGACAAAAGCTTAAGACAGGTTTCGCTTTCAAAGCACAACTTTGTTAGAGGCCATCTGACTAGGGGCTTTCCCATTGGAATGCATCTGTTTTCCTTGCAGAACCTCAATCATTTCTGTTGCAGAAGAGAGCAAAACGGGTATTCTTAACAACCTCTCAAGTGTGTCAATCTGGGGCATCCTAAATCAGGAAGCACACGTGCCGATCTTTGGATCTAATGTACATTAGTATCAATGAACTGTCCCATCGAATGTTATCATCATTCTGACTGATTATGTTTTCGTTTTATGGCTTGTTCCTTTTCTGCAGAATTAGGCTAGTGGGCATATGGCTTCACAATTATACAAGTGCATCTGCGCATACTAGGTTTCCTTGGGCAGAGCAGACTCAAAGCCCTGAGAGATTTCCATCTTTCTGACKACCCCCAATCGGTTCTTCTTTCCAGATTCTTGGGTTCTGGGTGTTTAAGTGGAAATGGGGTCGGCTAGGAAGAAATACACTGGATACCTCGTGGACYTTTTAACATTCAAAGGGAAAAGGGAGGGAAGAAAGGGCATAAGCAGAGAGAAATGGGAAAGGGGAGGGAGGAGAAGTCGGAGGGTGGGGGAAGTGTGAATCACAGTGGGACAGGTTTCCAGTCTCTGCAGTGTTCAGGAGGCTCTGGAGTGAAGGGACTATGGCATCCAGAGTCACGCAGATGTGTGTTCATTTCTTTTGGGGGGAATTGAGCCAATTTTATCTCACTTTTATTTAATAAATTGAAAGAAACTTGTTTTAAAGAAATTGATAATAAGTTTAGTAGCCAAATAAGCAGTAAGGGGTTGGGGGATTCATCTATATACCTGTCTCACTAAGAATGAGGTGACCACTATTCTAGAAACTGATTAGAAGAAGTGATGGCATATAAATGGCTGTTCTCTGGGGGCTTTGGAGGCCCTATCCACATCTTAGCTTCAGTTTGGAAGGGGTTAGTAAAGGCTAGAGAGTATTGATATGAGGAAGAAGGTATTTTTGGCTGTGACCTAATTTTGTCCTCGATAGCACCATGACAAAAGCATCGTCCCCACTTTATAGCTGAGACTGCTGAGGCTCTGAGAGGTTTAAAAACTGGCTAAATGAAACATCACTTGGCACAGGCTGATCTCCTCGTGGTCAAAGCTCTTTGATCATGACATTGATTCTTTGGATTAAWAATATCACAATATTAAGCTGTCAGTAACTTTCAGATTAAATCTCCGGATCACCTGGAGAAGATGCAGAGTGGTTGGTGGTGTGGAGCTTCTCCCTGGTTTAACCAGTGCTCTGTAGACACAAACTAACCCAKCTCCACTGCTTCTTCACCCTAACACATTTTTGTCTTGTCTATTCTCATTCTCCATGTCCGTCTCTCTCAGTTGCTTTCCTTCAACATCTAGGTTCCTTGAACTGTGAAAGGTCCCATGCATGAGGTCTGAATTCAATCAAATCCAGTTGAAATAATGGGAGGTAACCAAACCTCACTAAGGAGAAAGGGTGGGATGGAGTGGGCAGGGACAAAGGTGGGGATGAGAAGGAAAGGATAAAACCRGATAAATTCCAAGCCAAGTAAGCAGCCTATAAAGAGGAGCTGACTACATTTGATTTCTTTGAAAGAGATTGGCAAACAGCAGCCATCCTATTTTTTTTTTCCCTTGAGTGAAAAGCAGTATGAGTGTTCCTTAGAAAATAGAAGTTCTACTATCGCTGCCCTCATATGAATTGAGAGAGGTTGTCAACACCTCGAGCTGTTTCTTCCATGGTGATGATCTGTCATGCTTTATTTTGGTCATTGATTGTCAATACCTTGTCTATAGTTGAGTTTATGGTTAATTGAATAAATACCTAAGTATATGCATTAATGAATGAATGAAAAAAAAAAGACTGTCTAGTCAAGGCCTTTCAGAAATGGAGGGTAATTAGAAAAGGCCTTGTCTGAACCCCTCTTTTCATAGGGGAGGACCCCAAGGCCCACTAAAGACTAAGAGGGATCCCTCCATCATTTAAGAACAAAGCTAGCCAACAAGCTCCAGCCTTCCCGTTTCTACCCAAGGACTGTGCCTTTTCGGTCAGCTCTACTGATAAATCACTAACAGTGCTGCTGTTGGCTCCTGGTTTCCTCCCCACACACTGGCAGACAAGAACTACGGCAGTATAATGAGCCATCCGTGGTTAAATATCCACTTTGTTTTGAATGTCAACCTGGGTGTGTTTGTGTTTGCCTTTTCCCTCCCTAATTATCGGGCTGGATGACTGTTTGCCTATGAGTGCCCCTTGGCCACCCACTGTCCAGCAGATAAATCACAGAGAAGCCTGACTCCATATGGAACTGCCTGGAAAGTCTATGCACCTGAAGAGACAGTCTCCAGGTAACATCTCTCAGGCACTCTTGAGAAATGCAGTTCTTTGATTTGCCTATTTGCCTTA